GAGAGAGAGAGAGAGAGAGAGAGAGAGAGAGAGAGAGAGAGAGAGAGAGAGAGAGAGAGAGAGAGAGGGGTGATGAACCAAGTTGTCTGACCGCAAGACGATTCGAAACGCATTACCTGCAACTAGCATTCTCACGTACACCCTGCATTTGCCACCGATCGGATACTAGGTGGCAGTTATATCCGCACGTTGTCGCGCGCGGCGGTCCCGCACCCCATTGGGAGCGCTGAACCTCACGGTGGTGTCACGCAGGATTTATTCCTTGAAGAAGAACCGGTCACCACTCCGACCGTGCGCGCGTGCCATACCTCTCACGACGCCCCGCGACAGGTCGGGACGTCGCGAGGTACAACTTACCTCTACCCGAGAAGCTGTCACCACCCTTAGGTAGGCGTATCCCTGCTGAGCTACCGGCCCACATGCGAAGGCTTTCACATGCCTTTGTAGATAGGTCGGCCGAGGGCGTTTGCTCGATCGCTGTAGCATGAAATGAGGTACGCGCGGTAAGACGTCTAGAACTAACCCGTTAGATATTCAGGTCCAACTTTTAAAAAGGTTGTCTATTTCCGCTACCGCGTAATGTATTATTTCCTTGACAAATATCAATCAAACCATCTTTCTACCAAGGAACGTCCTATCTTTCTTAACAGGTTATGACTTCGTTGAACATCAGAATAGTATAGAAGTTAAGTTGGACATATGATGAATATGAGAGTATTATCGCCGAGAACCCTTCCCACTTTCACAAGTGCTGAGTGTCTGAAACTCTTCAACAGATCAGGTCAAGTTCAATCCAAAATCACGCACAAGACAGACCTGCACAAAATAATGCAAAGACAGTTCACATGCCATGCACTAACGGAGTTAACCATCAACCATTGACCTTGTCCCTCACTTCCCAAACCATGTATGACAGCCCTATCTTTCCTGAGACGTAAGCCCAACCCCCTCACATTTCTTCAAAGGACCCTTGAGAGTGACCAGGACCATTTAAGCAATGACCACAAGTGACAGTTTTACTGCCCTAAGGGTTTGACTTTAGAGGTGGGTATCAAGTCAAAGGGGAAAAGTTGAATCGGTAACAACCGACCTGTTATCGAGAGATAACAAAAATTTGGTCCTTTCTGTAGAACCTCTTCCTTGAAATGCAGTAGATAAACAAGGACCTGCACACACACAGGTCCACAAAGATTCAACATCCCCCACTCGATTTCCCACATGTTGATATCCAAGGGTCAAACCCTTAGACACGGGTAGTGAGCTCTGGGATCGACACCCCAGGCCTATCCCTAGTTTTACTCTCACAACCCTACCGTAAGCCGTCTGTCACTTTCTCCTTTCTCTAAAGGAGTCTCATGCCTGTGTCCTAAGTCGTCTTAAGGAAACTCATATTTTCCCTACTCTCAGTCCTTGCATTTTCTCTCTTGGAAATAAGCGCACCGTTTGGCGCTTATGTAGACGAGATATAATTCATTCATCATCGTGGCTTTCCATCCGTAAGTTATGGACATCTATGGACTGCGAGGTGATTCTTAAGTTTCTTTCTCCCGCGGTCCTATCTTCTTTCCTTGTTCCATTTCCGGATACATGAAGACCTTGCTCCAACAGGAGCATTGTTCTTTCCTTTCTCTTCAATTTGTCCTGACATACTCAAGTAGTAAATCGATTCAGACATGAATCTTCTGCTACTTGGCCAATACCAAGCAATTCGTTAGTCGAACAGACAGGTGAGTAAGTCGCGCATGAGTATTGATCTCCCTTTTTAGCCCCACTTGATCTAATCAGAGTAGCAGGACAACTCACACATGAGCATCCTTCGTACAACAAATAGTTGAGGCTCCTGCAGAAGCACCCTACTACTTGCTTTAGGTATCTTTCTGAAAGATCCGGATGTCAGTCTTCTCCCATAAGTTAATAACGGTCTGCGTGAATAATAGGCGACCCGCACATGAGCCCCCTACTATCACATGACAAGGCCCCCTTCATGAGAGCATTTGGATAATCCTGACAAGGGTACCCAGCTACCCTTCCGAAGTCGACCGTCCTGAGTCCGGGTTAGTTTGGACAGATGACGAGTGTTTAGAGTTTTTCTACAGGAGTACCCTCTTAGAGAGTTAGTACAGAATCAAGTAGGTAATAGACAGACCCGGACAAAGGCCCCTCTACTACCTTCCTTGGGTAATGAGTAGTCCGGCTGTTAAACAAGTAATAGGACGGCTCCTACAGAAGTCTCCCTATTACCAGTTTGGTGGTCGAACTATCAGAGGGTAAGTAAGCTAGTAGAAGAAGAGTAGAAATATGATTTCCTACTCTTTGCAGATGGTTAGTCGGCCTTAGACTCAAGCGTATGAATAGGATGACCCTCCCTGGACCCTTCTTTCATTATTTTTTAAGAATCAGACCCCTCTTCCCGTTATGACGACAGTCGATCCGGTAGGGAATCAGCCACCCCTGCTCGTCATGACGACAGTCGTTACGGTAGAGAGTATCTAATTTATCTCATAAGTATTTGTTAGTACTCTTTTCCCATCACGACGACAACCAATCCGGTAGAGAGCACCTAATCTAGCTCATAAGTTGCTGTCAGATACCCCTTCCCGTCACGACGACAGTCGTCATGGTCTAGAGTACCCTAATTTAGTTCATAAGTTATTGTTAGTACTCCTTTCCCATCATGACGACAGTCGATCCGGTAGAGAGTACTTAGATTAGTTCGTAAGTAGTTGTTTGTACCCTCGTCCCATCACGACAACAGTCGATCCGGTAGAGAGTACTTAGATTGGTTTGTAATTATTTGGTTTGTACCCTCGTCCCATCACGACGACAGTCGTTCCGGTAGAGAGTACTTAGATTAGTTCGTAAGTAGTCGTTTGTACCCTCGTCCCATCACGACGAAAGTCGATCCGGTAGAGAGTACTTAAATTAGTTCATAAGTAGTTGTTTGTACTCTCGTCCCATCACGACGACAGTCGATCCGGTAGAGAGTATTTAGATTAGTTTACAAGTATTTTGTTTGTACCCTCTTCCCATTACGACGACAGTCGATCCGGTTGAGAGATCCACAATGAAGTGGAGGGGTAACCACTCACGACGAACGGAGAGTAACTAAGGGTGTGGGAACAAGAGGGCGAGTAATGGGATGGAGTAGTACTATGTTCATGATGGTGATTAAGGGTCCCGATTAAGCTAATCGGATCCAACTGAATAAGTCAGATCAGGTTATGGGATTTTTTGGAAGAGCATACTATGTATTTACTAGCAGGCATGCATCGATATTATCGTTGGTGATCCCTACATGAGTTGACGAAGGAATCTGATGGTGCACGCGAATTCGGGATTTGAGATATGGAATGCGTGTCTACGGGCCTATGAGATTGAAAACACTTAGAGCACGACGACAAGCTAGTACTTACATGACTATTTGCTTTTTGTATGGATTGTTGGAGGCGGATTTGGTTCCCCGCTGTTTTTTTTTTTTTTTTTTTTTTTTTTTTTTTTTTTTTTTTTTTTTTTTTTTTTTTTTTTTTTTTTTTTATGGGTGCATTGTACTTCCTATAGGATAGATTATCGGCGGAATAACGTTTTCATCAGATTACTTGACAATGGTTTGCTTTAAGTAACGACATGGTAAGGGAGGGACATTGAACCACTAGTTAATCGTCGTATTTACTGTCTGTTGCACTTTGTGAATTACGCTTGTGAATGAAATTGATTTCTTACTAAGAATCGGCTCTCCGGAGGGTACTTCTGTGATAGTTGCCTAAATAGGAATAGCAGATGAAAAAAAGTTACAAATGTTCGCTGAAAACTCGGTTTGTTTTTTACAAAGATATGTTTCCCGAATCATTGTCTGTGGCAATTTTTTTTTTTTTTTTTTTTTTTTTTTTTT